GGTACTTGGTTACATAGATACAGAGGAACGTAGGTACTAGGAGACATAGATACAGAGGAACGTAGGTACTAGGAGACATAGATACAGAGGAACGTAGGTACTAGGAGACATAGATACAGAGGAACGTAGGTACTAGGAGACATAGATACAGAGGAACATAGGTACTAGGTTACATAGATACAGAGGAACATAGGTACTAGGAGACATAGATACAGAGGAACATAGGTACTAGGTAACATAGATACAGAGGAACATAGGTACTAGGTAACATAGATACTGAAGAGCTTAACTATGGATCCTGTTCAAGCTGCATCCTCTCAGACCCAACTCTTGAACAAATGAAAAATCATGGAAAGGCTTTAATTAAACCACTTCAGTGCATTTTATTTGTTTTTGTAGTGATCAGATGATGCAAACTCTCCACAAGGTTACTCCGTGTGATTTAAACCTGCAGCTGTTCTGTTGAAAACACGTAGGTGGAGAGTCTGACGGCAGCCCGGACCGCCTGTCAGGCAGGAACAGAACCTTCTGATGCCATTCGWGTGGTCAACTCCCTCCTCACTCAGCTGGATCAGATCAAACGGTCAGAAACCAGAACATTACTGTAGCGTTGGGTAGCATCAGCAAAATGTTTAACGAACCACAAGATGAGTTTTAATGAAACTCTCAAAGTAATCTGTGCATCTACAGTATAACTCATTAAGCCAATCCAAGATGGCCGCCACAGCCCTTTCAACTTAACCAACACAAGAATGGGTAGACCCTGGTCAGTTTTACAGATACTGAGCTGAAATGTGATGTGGTAGCTGAGAGTGATGCTCAATAGGGGTGTAAGAAAATATCGATACACTGAAATATCGCGATATTTCATTTCCCGATACTGTATCGATATTCTAAAGCCCTGTATGGATTTTTAATTAAGGTTTAAAATGTCAACTTTCTTGCCAGGCGTTCATTTTTATGTTATAGTTCGGCCTCTGACCACTAGTTGGCATCAGTGAGCCAGGAATTTGGCTCCTCTACCTCTTGAACGCCAGAGAGTAAGGGTAGCATTAGCATTGTAAGTAAACATTAGCTTTTCTTTTTTTTTTCGGTAAGAGGTTTTTATTTAATAGAATTTTTGGACAAAAAAATCGCAATATATCACAATATATCGGGATATATCGTATCGTGACCCCTTTGTTATGATATGTATCGTATCGCCAAATTCTTACCAATACACAGCCCTAATGCTCAACATTTACTCTGGCATGAGATTGTGCTTAAATTAGGTTTTTTTCTTTTTTTTTTTTTTTTTTGTTTCGACTCTTGGGATTAAAATCTCCAGACATTCCAACGTGGTCATCCTGACGACGTCCAACGTGACGGAAAAGATCGACTTGGCGTTTGTGGACAGAGCCGACATCAAGCAGTACATCGGCCCTCCGTCAGAGAAAGGCATCTATAACATCTACCTCTCGTGTCTCGAGGAGCTGATGAAGGTGACCTGTTCATTTGTYCACAATTACTTTTATTTATCTCACATATTTATTCAAAAAGGAAAAARCTGAAATGTTTTTCTCAGAACTCCACTGGGGATTAGTAACTTTTACTATCTTGATGCAAGGCGGACTTGTAAAGTGATGTTTACATGTTTACATAGATGGTAAAAATATAAAAGGACATAGCCCCTGGGATGTCTTAGACACGACATACARTTTGAAGCAGCTCTTTGTTGTTTATTTAAAGCAGTGGAAATGATGGATCTCAACTGGAAGGCTGAAAAACATTTTAGAGACGTTACAAAAATAAAAAAGTGCAAAATAGGAGTGGAGGAACAACGAGCTAGTTTCGTTGGCAACAGTGCCGATTTCAAAACTCATTTGGATCCATTGGATTTGAGCAAATTCTTCAAGCTCTAAAAACAGATGTATAATTTAAAGGGCCTGTGACATGCTTCTCCTTCAAATACAAAAAGTCAAAGAAAACACATTTTGTATTTAAGAAAATTAGTATAATACACRATTTTACCCATTTTGTCTCATAACTGGCCTATTTTCTCTTGAATTTGGCTYGGCAAAGTGAAACAGGAAGTGACATCAAAGGAGAACTCTTTGGTCTTTKTTTATTGAAACAATCTTATTTAAACTCTTCTTCAACTCTGGTAATGACTCAACATAATCGAAAGAAACATCAGATTCTTTAATTATTGTAGCATTGCTCTGTTTACATGCAGACGTTCTCCTTTGACATCACTTCCTGGTTCTTCACATGCAAATATCTCAACGGCGTCAAATTTGTTTTGCAATATGTTATCAATGTTCTCTTTCYAAAAACGCATTCACATTTATTACGAAAATTTGATGTCACAGACACTTTAAAGATATTTGTGAAGAATCTAATCTGTGATTTTAAACACAAAACGGTTGAGAGCAAACAAATCGGATATGTCTAAAATCGTAAATTTACTTGTTGGATTCGTTCAGTTCCAGTGGCTTTTCCATAGTGATGTCAGTGTTTGTATCGAAAAATGTGTGAGCTTGACCGCTTTGTGCATTTGTAACAACAACATGGTCTATTCCAACCCTTGTATGTGAAAAGGGGGATTCCCATCAAAATTCACGATGACACCAAATATACAGCAGCTGGTAGAGAAAAATGGATAATTCAAAGAAAATTATGGATGTAACTTTGATTTAAAGGTTGATTAGGAAGATTATATATTATTTCAGCAAAACAAGACAAATTTGTGTCAAATGCCACCAATTCTGCTGTTTTAACTGAATCGGAGACAACCTATTTTAAATTTCCAACCATCCTAATCTTTGAAAATGGAAAAAAAGGCCCTCAACCATCTAAACCAGGGCTATTCAACTGGTGGCCCGTGGGCCACATCYGGCCAGCAAGTGACCAAATTTCAGCCCACCAATTGGTTCATTCATCTCTTAAGCCCAAACCTCCAGTTTTCTAATTTAATAAGTTCTTTTAGTTAAACACAGCTATGTTTTCTTTGCAAATGTGCGCGAGACTTTGTCGATATTTTGTTAATGTTGAAAAACAGTTTCTCAGCGGTGTTTCCATTAAGTAAGAAATGCTATTAAAGTCACTTGTGAATACGCTTGTTCTCGCGATAAGTCATTACAAACATGGTGGAAACGGATGTAAACACATGCTTATTTCTACCAGGGCTCTAGCGCTCATCATCAGCCATCAGAGGACACATCGGCRTCTTATCGATGTTTTCCAGCGACAAGCCCCTTATACTTGAGAGTGGCTGCGTATGCTGTGTTTTTGGGAAATTGTAGTCGGTGATTTTACTACTTTCTTTTGCAACGCCAGTGATTTTACTACTACTTCTACTTCCTGTTGTCTTCTTCTTCGTCTTTTTCGTCAGTAGAAACATCCCGTTGTTGATCACGTGACTTCCATGATGCGAAAAAAATGTTTCCATTGCAGTTTTACGAAAAACACCAATTTCGATATGGCCGAAATACCACCTCATCCTGGTGCATAAACATTTTGTCGAAAAAAAAGGAAGTTTTTTTCTATTTTGACGTGTTTCCATTGAGCAAATTTATTTTCTAAATTCTAATTTGCGCATTTTCATGATCAATGAAAACGCAGCTTTAGACATGTTTGGTGTCTACAGAATCTTGGCTACAAGACAGTTAAAAACTACAAGCAGTTGAAGATGAAACTATGAAAGTGAAAATAAAATTGTTTTAAAAATTTGGCAAGTCAGAGATGTCAAAATATTATTTGTGGTAAATATCAGGCATAATGTGTTCTTTTTGTTTTTGTTGTTTTGTTATCACTACTTTTATTATAGGGTTCTGTATGTTGTATTCATGATTAAATCAAGCAAAATAAATTATTTCGAAGGTAACAGATCTTTATAATACTTGGTTTATTTACATAATGACTTTAATTGCTGGATGTTCGGCCCCTCAGCTGTTGACCTGCAGTAACCGTGGCCCCCCCGGAGCAGTTTAGTTGAATAGCCCTGATCTACACCTTTTGTACGTCTAACGAGCCTGTGCTTCGTGATCCGCCCAGTGTCAGATCATTTACCCCCGGCAGCAGCTGTTCACCATGTACGAGCTGGAAACCATGGGCTTCGCTAGGAGCGAGGTGTCCGAACACAGTCTGAACCTGAGGAACATCGCTCTGTGAGTAAACTTTCTGTTTGTGGTAGGGGCTTCTGGTAGTCAAAACGGTGACTGGAACAACTAAGAGGTTAACGCTTCGTTGTCTTTTCTTCTGTCCGTCCAGAAAAAGCAAAGGTTTGAGCGGAAGAGCACTCAGGAAGTTACCATTTCTAGCCCACGCAATGTTTGTTAAGGTAAGCCTTTTAATTTTCCATTTTGCTGGAAAAGCAAAAAAATATAAATGTTTTGTAAATGTTTATTTGTTTTGTTTTCTTGTCTCCAGACACCAACAGTCAGCCTGGAGGAGTTTCTGGAAGCTATGAGCCGAGCAGTGGATAAACAGAGGGAGGAGCAGAACGATTTGATCAACAGTGTCTGAAACCATAAAAATACATGAAAATGTGATTTTGAGCTGCCAGTCTGAAAACCCTAACACCTTTGTTAAAGCTTAATCAGTTAGTTAGTTAGTTTATTCATTTAATTTAAAACAAAAACAAATAATCAGTTCATTAATCAGTTCATTTGGCAGCTCTAAAGAAAACACTTCATCAAATAAATGGTTTTAGCAGTTTTTATTCAGGTAAATTTGTTATTAACCTGATGTAATCCTTCATGCTTGAATATTTCTCTGTTTTTGTTTGTTTCACATCGAACAGCTTTAGCTTCAACGGTGCCTGCTTTTGCTTTAAATAAAAGCAAAGTTTGGATTTTTGTTTTAAAATTTATTATAATCTTGTTTTCRTTTGATTGTTTTACAAAAAAAACTTGTTCTCAGCTTGTGGGGGTTGTGRGTCTCTGAAAGCTGAAGTGGTGCTTCTTTTGTGGAACACACTTAGTTTAGAATAAATTTAGAAATAGTTGAGCTTTTCTGATGCAGCTTTTTATGAAAAGTTTACTTTTTTACATTTAATTCTACCTGACGAGCTGCTACCCATAYAAACCTGCTTTTTTGTGCACAATAAACACAAAAGATAATTTATCCTTTAACATACTGTTTGTGCATGTTTGTGTATTTTATGTTTCTCATGAAGGGGTGCATTTTTTTAAAATCTGCATTTTTCTTTTGAAAACTGAGTTCACTTTATTAAACCTTTGTGCAAAACATAACAAACGTGCGTCTTTGTATCGATTACCTTTTAAGGCCCGTTTTTCCTAAATACACTAAATTGTGAGGACCCACTGCTCCTTACAGGGCCCAAAGCAGGCGACCTCATTAATTCAAGAGCTGTTTTGGGCAGTGAGTTTGGTAGGTAAGGGTCAGACTATAGAAATGAATGGAAGTCAATGCACAGTCCCAGTAAAATAGAAAAACGTGTGTGCTGCTGCAATAGACGTAACTACAGTGCATTTCACCACCTTTAAACCACCACTGGGTGGTGCACAGACACTGTCCAGTTTCATACACAGAACCTGGATTTTATTTTTATGGCCGTGTTTTTTTATGAGTGATGTGATAAACAGTGAGAACAATGAGGGCAATAAGTCAGAACAACAATAAAAACTGATTGCAGCTGAACTTGTGCACCTCTTATAGTTTGGTGATTGTTAACTGAGAAGCTCTACAAATAAATATTTGAAAAAATACAAGTGAGAAACCTTTAATTTGCAGTTATGAAGCTGACACAGTAGTCTTATGACTTTTTTTAAATTCAGGCCTCTGCAAAAGACGCCAATTTGACCTGAATAAAAAAAAACCTTGAATTCTTTTAAATAATGCTCATCACTCGCCGCTTTGCACGAGTTTTGTTTTATTTTATTTATTTATTTTTGGCAAAGTTCATTTTGTGTTGGCTAACATTGATTAGCTGTGGCGGTCATCCTAAATTGTATCGACTCTAAACCATCAATTGTAGATGAACAAATGATTAGTTTCTGAAACAGACAAGGTCAACTCCAACAGGTTTTTAAGCCAAAGTCCTGCACAATGAGTAACACTTAGATTATGTGTTGTGATTGACTCTCRGCTACTCTATTAACAAACCAAATTTTAGCTCAGATTGTTTAAAAATTACAACATTAGAGCCATTTTTGTGTTTGCTAAGCTGTAGCTGTGTAGCCATCTTAAATCAAGTTGACTCAACATTGTAGATGTCCAGTCAATATGCTTCCAGTGGTGGGCACAGCTAACCAAAACGTTAGCCAACTTATAATTTAGCTACACAAACTCTAAACTACGACGGAGTATTAGGGCCACACACAGGATTTTTAAAAGTTATTATTACAAAAATAAAGTCAAATATTATGACTTTATTCTAGTAATGATAACAAGAATAAAGTCATAATATTATGAGAATAAAGTCACAACATTACGAGTTTAAAGCCGTATTTCTACAAGAATAAACTCATTATTATGGCTTTAATCTCGTAATGTGACTTTATTCTTGTAAAATTACGACTTTAATCTCGTAATGTTGTGACTTTATTCTTGTAAAATTACGACTTATCTCGTAATGACTTTATTCTCATTATGATGACTATTCTCATAATGTTGTGTTTTTATTCTCATAA